GACGCGTTTCAGAAAGGCGGGGCATAGAGGAGAAACAATAATGTACAGTATGTGGAAAGTAATGTTTTTTTAACCTTAAACCGCATAAACACATTTCATTACACCAAATACACCAAATAATGTTCTTTTTAGCAACATCATATGACCCCTTTAAGTATGCACATGTATAATTAAAGTAAATACTTAAAAATAATACTCAAAACTATACAGCTGTTTTCTTTCATTAGTAATCTGCAAAAAATTTGGCAATAATGATAATAATAAATTCTCTAAAGGCAAAAAAGTTATTTTGTTTAATCGTAGCAAAAATGTATTGATATTTTCATTTACAACTTTCTGTAAACCAAATTGTAATTGAAGGCGTGCAATGAATGGTTAATAGATTTACTAAGGAATCCGAATCATTAAATACAATGAGAATCATAATTGTTAAATTCCTTACGATTCCCATCTGAAAAGTACACTGTTTTCTAGTTGTGCCAAACAGTCGTATGTAGGTTATGTATGTAATGTAACGTTAAGTGTTGTTTCTCTGTCAGGTGAGTCCTAACGGAGCGGTGTTGACCTACAGCGACCCCACGCTGGTGTTTATCTTCCTGCTGGTGTTTGCCGTGTCCACCATTAACTTCAGCTTCATGATCAGCGCCTTCTTCTCCAGAGGTGACTTCTCCATCTCTGCTCTGTGAATGTGTGATTACTCTTGTAATTGTCGTTACACTGTATTATCTGACAGTGTATACTGTATATACAGCCGTTTAATCAAACGGCATTACTATGGTGAGAAACAAAGCCTCATAATCAAAGGCTGGAGATAGTAGAACAAAGAGAAAGCAGAGGTGACTAAAGAAATGAAGGCACAAAATGGGACATATTTGCTATGTTTTTGGCTCCGTACATGCACAAACAAAATGAGCTGCGTTTAAACTTGACTCTTACAAAGCTTTCAGAAATCAGCTCTCCTTTGTCCATAACCTGCGCTACTTTTTTCTTTTCTCTTTTCTCTGCCAAACAAAAACCTTCGATTACCGCAAACTGTGTGTAAAAGCAGCTGAGGAAAATGCTCAGGTCGCAGTTATTGACCCTTTTTGATGTTAGAAATGCTTTCAGTGAGTGAAAGCAGGAGTCGTGGCTGGACTGTGTTGTGTTTGATTGGTGGCTCTCAGGTGAGCTAATAATAAGATGTGTAGATGTGCTTTAAGAGCAGATTCATAACGCTTTAACTCTTCATCCTGATGGGAGGAATGAATAGGAAATCAGATGCGCTTTGGTGTTTTGTGCATTTAGTTTCATTTCATTATTGTGTTCGCAACTGACTGAACTGGCCATTTCACCGCCTGTGGTTTTGAGTTAAAGCTGTTGTTCAGCAAAAAAATCTAAACTCAGTCATCATTTACTCAAGAAATATGCAAAAATCATTCTTATTGAATATTTTTGACCTTGTTTTCCAGTACAAATATATATATAAAAAAAACTTAAATCACGATTTACTTGAGAAACAAAATGACTTAAGTTTTCTGAAAACAAATAAATAAATAAATAAATTACCATGAGCAAATATTTGTCAGTTGGGAAAGAACAATTTTTGTATTTTCCTTTTGAATTAACTTTATATTTCTAACCTCATATTTTTTCTTGTTTTAAGTACAAACTCACTTAAATGTGATACTTTTCTCAGAAATTGAGACTTAGTATTTGAGGTCAGTTTGCATTTCAAATAAATGAATCTTGTTTTAAGAATGTGTAGACATTTGTACTGGAAAAAAAACAGTAAGAAAACATTTTTTTTTTTGCCATTTAAGGCTTCAAAAAGACTAAATGGTACATGGATTTTTTTTTAAATGAAGAACCAGACAAACATTTAGCTTCTGTTTGCTGAAATAACATGCCTTCTGCTCTTACTGTCCCATCTTGTTCACATTTCTGTGTTTTAAAACCCGGCATGACGCATTTAATGTTTTGTTTTTACGTGAAAGGCTTTGTTGAGTAAATTGCATTTTAAAAAGGTGCTCAAATATGCTGATGCATTAATAAAGTCATCAAATGATTCCTCTTATGGGCAGATTTGAAAACATTTCAGGCACTAAATGGTGACACATAGCATTATGTGTAGGAGGAAATGAGGCAGTGTATGTCTGTAAAATGCAGCATCAGGCAGGAAATGTAATATCATATGTTGTCCTGTGTAAAAAATCAGCTGACACTCTGTGCGTTTAAGAGAAATGTTTGCTTGTTTGGACTCAAGGCAAATGCTTTGGTTGACCGTAATATTGTTCATGGTAATAATGTTCATGGTAGATTTACCTATTCATATGATTCATGCTTCATTTGCCTAATGCAACTTGGTTAGCTTTTCATGTCAAAGATTATGAAATAATCCGTTTCTGAAATAATCTGAATGTAAGAGAGTGTTCATATACTTTCATTTCATCACAATAGTAAAAACAAAAGAAGTACTTGAAGCTAATTTAGGAGTATTAAGTTTTTTTTTTTTTTGCATTTTTGTTACTGCAGTGTAATTAGTTGTATTTTTTGTGTATTTTATGTTTATTTTTTATTTGAATGTTATTATTTTTGTTCTTTATTAATGTATTTGTATTTTTATTAATTAATTAATGAATTTATTTATTGAACTGTATTTTATTCATTTATCTTTTTGTTTTATTTATTTACATTCATTTTTATTTATTTAATTTAAAATTAAAACCAGTGCAACAAATACTACCGAACAGTTTAATTACAATTTCATCTCTTTTTTGGATTACAGGTGCAAAACAATTAAAAACACTTAATAATCCTAAAATTTTTATATCTTCCTTGTTAGTGAAAAACTACAATTTTAAAGTCACTGAAATAAGGCCATAAAACACCTACAGAACATTTTTTCACAAGGCTTTTTAGAACGGAAGTCTTGAACTCTAGTGTTTTTGCTTCAAAATTATGTGAAAATCATCTTACTCATTCACAGAAAACAATATATTGATTTAAATTTTCGAAGACACTCTTTGTGTAGAAAAGGTATATGCGAGTAGGCGTGAATGGTCATACATAATGCTTTGATTCACACCTGAGAAGACAAAGGCCTGCATAATGAGCTGCATAATGAGCCTTTCAGTCAGGTGTGTGACTGAGAGGGAATTGCTACAAGAAAGAATGTGAGGAAAAAATAAATGTATATATTTTGTGTTTGTAGTTTATTTAGAATATATATAGCTATCACATAAAATAACTTGAGATTCACTTGATCAACAAACAAACAAAAAAAAAACACGAGTCAAGACATACTAATTTATCGAAACAAAGAACACAATTACCATATAGCAAACATAGTTTACCATAGAGCAAATAAATCAAAAGAAAGTAACATCTGTAAAATAGTGAATGCACACTTACTCTAAGATTCTGAATGGAGTTGAAAACTGAACGAGCGTTCCCTTCCTGTGCAAGATGCAGGTGAAGGCAAGAGTGGTGTATTCAGTTCTAAAAGAATTTTATAAACAATCGTTAGCATTTTTTCCCACAGTACCTATAGTATCACTATAGTATAGTATGCATACTTCATGAGAAAGCAGAATGCCAATAACAAAGAAACTAGATTTTAACCACAAATAATATTACCATATAATCTAGGAATAATAAAAGTACAATTACTATACTGTGCACTTACTCGGTATGATTTTCCAGCGAACTCAAAACTGAACGGGTATAACACATTCAAAACATTTACACCAGAGCAGATATTCGCAAACAGAAGCTTAGTTATAGTCATAAACACAAGCATGTTTAGTAGGCCTGTTATACAATACAAAAACATTTTATATCTGGGAAAATAAATTATTATTGTTAAGCACGTTATAAAGATCTTCGTGAACAGAGCCTATAGTAAAGTTTTCTATAGTATTGTTTATAGAACATAAAACCATCCTCACGCCATACAACATTTAGATGTAATGAAAGGTTGCCTATCATATTTCAAAATGTTGCACTCGACTGCACACATTTTAGTCTGGAATTATAGTTTGGGAGAAGTCCAACTAGTAAATGTGTTCAAGTTTATGTCACAACAACACATTATCTATAACAAAAATAAGCAAATAAGAAACATTACTTACTCAGCATAAAAGATCTCCTCCACTGGCTTGCGCTTGCGCTCTGTTTGTGAGGTAAACAAAGTTTATTCCTCTCATCGCGTCTTCATCTGAGGTAAATACAGGCTTATTCCTCTCAGCGCGTCTTCTGAGGTAAATGCAAGGCTTATTCCTCTCAGTGTCTTCTTCCAAAAACGAAAAGTATCCGAGATGAACAGGTTGCTACTTTGTTTACGGTGATGTGAGCGTTTACATGTCGCGCATCTCACGTGGAGATTTGTATTATCAATAGCGCGAGCAGCGCGTGGGCGAGATCACATTAGAGATAATGAGTTTAGACGGGAAAACTGGACATGTCGTTGGTTTCATACGGATTACTTTATCACAGAACATTTGTTTTCCGGTAAGAGATACTTAATTTAAGGCTAGACATGTCAAGCTTTCTATAGATATATTTCTCATGTCTGTATGTAAAGTATTCTCTGAGTTTCAGTTCATTTTAGTGACGCGTTTCTAAAAGCAGTTCGCGGAGACCGGGAAGACTGAGAGCGCACCCAGTTTGTTTTCTTTATTTTACAAAAGCACAAAGTTTTGTTGATATGGTGAGCATACACAAATCAAAGTAGACCCTTTTCAGATTCAAGTGATGTATTACTTTTATGTTTCCAATCAAAAGTGACAGAGCATTTTAAGTTATTTTCTCTGTCATCTGGAAAATATGAAAGTGCACCCGCCGGCGCCTTTGCCGACCCCAGGCGGTTAAGCAATATACAATGTCTTGTTTTATTTAAAAAGTGAAATATGACCTATTTCCTCATTACTTTTATTATTTATTGTTGTGGTTTTATACAGCTGATGTATGTGATGCAGTGGTCGGCTGTTTTTTCTTACAGCAAATCGAGGCCATGTGTCTGAAGTCGAATCGGTGCGGTACAATGACCTTCTGTATTCAAAAGCCCAGTCCTGATCCTGGAGAACCCCTGAAAAACACTGCACGTCTTTGACGTCTCTCTTATCTGACACACACATGTGAGGCCTTGACTAAAACTGAAAGGGAGTTCCCCTTTCAAAGTGTAACTTTGAAGCTGTGGCTTGGTGTTGATGCTATGGGAATGTGTGTACTGTACACACGTCAATCTCAGTTGGCTGATTGTGTGGACATGGTGACATAGCACAGTGTGTCACCAAGACCATAAACAGACACCTAAAATGCATGTCATTAGAGTATTATGTTTGTTAAGCAAGTGTTTGAAATCTTCTGTAATGGCAGGAAAAAAAGTATAGGAGATATTTAATGCCATGTCAACAGTTCATTATAGTGGATGACTGCTGCGATATGTGTGTGCCCTGTATGGGTGAGTAGCATGCATGGTCAGTCCTTGAAGGGGCTGATTGTGTGCACTGTGAGAAGTTTTCCACACCCATTGTGTCATTGTGTCCACACTCCTGCAACTTCGACATATTCTGTGGCTGTTGAGATGTGCGAACATGGGTATGGGGCGTTGACGAAGGTGGAAGAGACACGTGGGCTATCTCACCCATTCCGGGTTTAGAAAGGCTGAAAATGGAACTTAATCAACACGTCCTGCTCTGCCGGATTGGCCCATTTAAAGCCCAAATGACATATTGTTGAGTGTGAAGAGGTTCTCCGCATCTCAGCGTCCCTTTCTAGATGTGAATGTAAAAATAGCCCAGTGTGTTATTTTCTTCCATTTGTTGAGCAGCGGTGCCACTCTTTTCACTGCGCTTTCTCTCATCACCTCTCTCATTGGCTCTTTTGTGGCTGTTCGAGGGTCAGAGGGAATGCAGCTCAAGGACATGTGTGAGTGAGTGAGTGAGTGCAGGGGTTTGATTCTGGAGCCTTATTATGGAGACTCATTCGCATCTCACGTCCGTCATTACATCTCACACTCTGAACGTCATGCTGGTGAGAGTGAATGGCACAAAAACAGCCAGGTCACATTCATCCCAAAATTATTTTTTATTTTGTAATAGGCTTCCAGAGAAACGTCTTTGAAAAAAATATCACACTGTATTTATATATAATATATGTATATGTGACCCTGGACCACAAAACCAGTCTTAAGTCGCTGAGGTATATTTGTAGCAACAGCCAAAAATACATTGTATGGGTCAAAATTATTGACTTTTCTTTTATGCCAAAAATCATTAGGATATTAAGTAACTATCATGTTCTATGAAGATATTTTGTAAAATTCCTACTGTAAATATATTAAAACTTAATTTTTGATTAGTAACATGCATTGCTAAGAACTTCATTTGGACAACTTTAAAGGTGATTTTCTCAATATTTAGATTTTTTTGCACCCTTAGATTACAGATTCTCAAATAGTTGTATCTCAGCCAAATATTGTTCTGTTCCTAACAAACCATACATCAATGGAAAGCTTATTTATTCAGCTTTCAGATGATGTATAAATCTCAATTTCGAAAAATTGACCCTTATGACTGGTTTTGTTGTCCATGGTCACATATATAAATAATAATATAATTTGACTTTTTTGCTTGTTTGTTTCTTTTCTTTTACAATTGCCTTTTTTCCCCTGTGTCAGAATCAGACTTTAATACATTTTCCCCCAAATTCTGTTAAATGTGTAAAAATAATGAATGTTTTTTGGAATTGTTTTAAAAATAAAACATAAAAATAGATAGTATTTAAATATTAAATTCTTCATAAGTAATGGTAGTATTTGGTGCCCTTTTATCCATACATTTGTCTTCAAATTCTCATTAATATGATGTATATAAAACATAAAAATGAATAATTAAATATTATATAAGTATTTATAAATTATGTTAGTATTTGCTGTTAGATGTTAGATTTTGTTTTTAAATCGGCATGAATTAGTGTATTACATTATTATTATTATTTTTTTTAGAGATTTATCATTGTGAATAATGGGAAATACAAAAAACACATATATATCATGGTGTGATTTTTTTTTTCTCTTATTTTATATAACTTTCACAATTACCTATTTTTTCCTGAAGCAGACTTCCATGCATTTCTTCTCAAATTCACATTAATACAATATGAAAAAAATGATGAAATATTAAGTTTTTTTTTATAAAGAATTTAAATAAAATATAAAAACAAATATTATTTCATTATTAAAGTGTCTTCAAATGGTAGTATTTGTATTGCTGTCTTCACTTAAGTAAGTATAAAGTATTATATCATGTCCATGTCTATAACGTATTATATTACAGGATTTTTTATTTAGAGAATCACCATTGTGAATAATGCAAAATACACACACACACACACACACACACACACACACACACACACACACATATCAGTGTGATTTTATTTCTTATTTTATTTTTAACTTTTAAATTTGTTTTGGATTTTTCCCCCCATGAGAATCATACATTTCTCCCTAAATGATTATTAATATAATGTGAAAATAATTTAATTTAATAAACTTAAATATGAATTGTTTTAAAACATAAAATGAAAGCATGAAAATAAGTATTTCAATAAGTACTTTTAAATAATAGTAGCATTTGTTTTGTTGGCTTTATGTAAACCAGCAGGAATTGTTATATCACAGTACTTTTATACAGAGAATCACCATTGTAAGTAATTGGAAATATAAAAACACAAATGTCCATGCACTTTTGCAGTACGATGTTAAAACCAATGACACAACGTAAAACATCTTAAAGGTCTTAAAATAGCATCTTAAAGTAAAATATAATTTCTTCCTTTTCATTTAGCAGTGCAGTTGTTTTCATATAATCCTGAGCAAAACCTAGTTTTAATTAAAGGTCTTCCTCTCCCGTAGCGAATGTGGCCGCAGCAGCGGGCGGCTTCATCTACTTCCTGAGCTACCTGCCGTACGTCTTCCTGTGGCCTCGCTATGACCTGCTGTCGCACGCCCAGAAAGTCTCCGCCTGCCTCATCTCCAATGTGGCCATGGCCATGGGAGCCCAGCTGATCGGCATGTTCGAGAGCAAAGGTCAAGGGTCCGACTGAACTGACTCTGCTGCTGCTCTAATCACACATCGTAAGCTGACGCTCGTGTCCTGTGTGGTCCTCAGGGACGGGCATCCAGTGGCATAACCTGTTCGAGCCGGTGACGGTGGACGATGACTTCTCTCTGGCTCAAGTGCTGGGTCTGCTGCTGGTGGACTCGGTGCTGTACGGTCTGGTTGCCTGGTACATGGAAGCTGTGTTTCCGGGAGAATATGGAGTCCCTCGTCCATGGTACTTCTTCATTCTGGTAAGTATTGTCTACATCAGGGGTGCCCAAACTCGGTCCTGGAGGGCCGGTGTCCTGAAGAGTTTAGCTCCAACCCCAATTAAACACAACTGAACCAGCTAATCAAGCACTTATAGGCATACTAGAAACGTAAAGGCAGGTGTGTTAAAGCAAGTTGGAGCTAAACTCTGCAGGACACCGGCCCTCCAGGACCGAGTTTGGG